TGCTACGCTGTCTATTCTGCAGTTACGAACGTCTTTCAGGCATAGAGCCACGTCTAACACTTCTAGGCTAAAATTGGGAGCACAAAATAATTGAAAATTTTCCTTTTCAATCATATGGGCAGCTTCACAGATGAGAAAATTTTCAGCCTTACCCAAGAGCTGCATGCCATTTTTATTCTTCTGCTGACTTCGCATAGTCGCCTCTGCACTGCAGACATTAGCTGTCACGGTGAGGTTGCACCTCATCCAGCCTATGCCCGTCACATGTCATAAACGTGATCTGAGTTATTACGTTAGGTACATTTTCATTCCTGCTTTGACGTTGGCGTCGTTCAAGTTTTGGATTCTTATTTGGAGATTTTCTATTGACTTTGGGAAGATCATTAGGGTATCCGCAAACCGCTAGTGTCTTACATAGGCTTACTTATTTGTAACTTCTGATTTTCACAATTGAGTATCTTGAAACGTCTTCTGTTGCTGCTGTAAAAAAGTTCAGTGAAAAGGTGTTCCTGTTGGACATCCGTTTCGATTTTGAACTTTCTGGAGCCCAGCAAAAATTCTCACTAAAAGCGGCATTCTTGTAAATCATGGCCATCATGTTTTGGTATCTTTTCTCGATTCTCTGGCTCTCGTTGAATCCAGTACAAAAAGGATGTAGGCTGATTCAAAAGCTTTCTCGAACCCCAGGCAAACAGAAAGCTGATATTCATTGCTTGTGTGAATTATTTTTGCACCACATTATTTTTAAACCAGTTTTGCATCAATTATCCATTGCACTAAATCCACTGCAATTGTGGACGAGTAGTCTGGAGTTCTTCAAATCATCTCTATCTGCCTTTTCATGGAGTGAAATCACAAATACAGCCCAATCCAATCGTCTGGAATTTTCAGTTCCTTCCAGATAGCGTGAAAGCAAGTATTCTAGCATCTTTGTCATTGCTTTACCTTCTAATTCTACGAGGCTTTCCTCGCTTTGACTGTTTTATGGCATGTCGCATTCTGGGTAAGATATCGGGTGTTTCGTCGTCAACTTTACTTGTATTTCCGGGTTTCTCATCCTCATGTAGGCCGTTGATCTCTTTTTCCTTGTATAGTGTGCTCGTGAAGGCTTTCATTTTCTTTGCAATCTTTTGTCTGTTCCTGAGGGGGTCCTGTATTCTGCTTTGAGAGATAGATTTGTCGTTTACTGACCGTCAATCGTCGACTTTATTTCCTCAGGCTTTAGTTATTTCAATGGTATTAATCACCAATCTGTTTGGATGACTTTTTCTGTGTCCTTTCTTAACGTGTTCGATCTTTGACCACGGACTGTGCTGTCATAGTTTCTCTTAGTTTCTTCTTGAGTTCTTTTGTTTGCTTGGCAATTTTTCAGTGGACTTTCACAATTCTTGTTCCGGAGGAACTTTCCGCCGTTTTTTTACGTGTTTTGCTATGTCCTAACGCATTGCGTTCATGTCTACTCCGTAATTTGTATTTTCTTTTGTAATTTCACAAAGGACGTCAGAATTGTAATTCATTTTGAATTGGAACAACTTGAGGGTGGTACTTTTTTAGTGTTCTAAAGCCAAGTATATTGCGTCTCGTCCTCGACAATCTCCTTCTTCCTAAAGTTAAGTTCAGACGCTCTTGCATGTTGCCAGTCGGTGATCGTTTTGGTCTTTCCATGTACTTTTCGTGCTTACAACATATTACTGAATAATGTTGTAAATGACAATAAATGCACAAATTTAAAAATTGCCCATCTGAAATGAGAATATTCTGTACAGGCAACTGGACTCACAGTTCCAACTCGCTTTAAGTCCTCCTTACGAAGAACAGAACATATTTCCCTGATTAAGCTTTGTCCGAGTTCATGCAATATTAAAGCCGTTAGAGGTTCAGTGACTCCGGGATGTAATGGGTTGAAATCTCCAGTGCAAATGACGGATGTCTTTGGCCAGCACACTATGGCCCAGATTGCAGAACGCTGGTCGCTTTTGCTATGCAGGGAGCAGTCTCAGTCATGATGTCGATATTACGTGGCACGTGGGAAGATTTATGTGGATTCTGTTTCAGTTCGCCAGTGCTTTAAAAAGCTTATAGACAGGATATATTATTTTTGTGAAGGATCTTCAGGTACTGCTGGGCATCGGCCGATTAGAAAACTTAGGTGCTTTCTACATTTCCGTTCATTACGCCTAGTCTATTGTTCCTTATTGTCCTTCAGGCGCTGCTTTGGGAATGAAATCCGCAACCCCACTTAATATCTCGTTCACCTGTTTCTGGCTGATATTGAAATTCAGCACTTCATTGCAGACCTACTGTAGCAGGGGATTCTGTGACGCTTGCAGGTTCAAACGCGGATCGAATTACAAGCCACATAATTGGGCAGGTTGGATTATGGGACGATGAATGGTACCAG